CATAACCAAAGGCTCCCATTCTCCATCCTGTCTCAGGCCATGCTGTGCTGGAGCCTCTGGTCTTGAAGCACCTTGGAGAGCTCTGAGGCTGTCTTTGCTGTTTGGCCCCACAGACCAGCTGTTTGTTTTAAGGACAGTGAAGCATGCCCTTCTGTCATACCTGTCAGCCAAGGAACCAAGAGTCTGATCATCTGTTGCTTAGCCAAGGGCTGTCTTCCCAGCTTGCAAGGCCTCATCCAGTCTGAATATGCCAAATAGATCCAGAAGTACAAATGCACTGATGTAGGCTCAAGGAGCCCACGTGTCCCAGCTCTTTGCAAAATCCCACCTGTGTCATTTGCAGAAGCCAAGAATGGACCTTTTCAACTGTACTCGGGAAAGTCGGCTCTGAGCTTACGGGTGGGAATATCCAGGTGGGGCCAGAATTCACCGAGCTCGTTGGAGGTTCCTACACAGGGAACATTCGAGCACTTACGCACCAGCCACACTTGGTCTCTAGGCTAATGCTACCCTCTGGCTTGAGCAGACCACATCTCTTGACTTAAACTGGTCAGCTCCCAGTTGAGAGGTTGGAAAAGGGGCCCACTGGTCGTTCAGGCTTGCTTAGCTCCGATGCTGCCAGGCAAGTACTAGGTATCCTTCTGGCTCTGTGCCACCCTGTGAATTCCAAGGGCTCATGGTTATTAGCCTACCAGCAGCCTCAGCAGCAGAGCCCATGCTCTTGTGGGTTGTGTTAGGTTTCTGACCATTACAAGTACCTGGTTCTTGGCTAAAGCACATCTTTTTTATTCAGCCTGCTCCCTTAAAACAAAATTTAACAACAACAACAAAACCCAGCAAGGTCTCATATAGCCCAGGCTGGCCTCAAATTCTCTAGGTAGTCAAAGATCTCCTTCAATTCTTTTTATATATATAAAATTTTTAAATATTTATTTATTTTTGTTTGTTTGTTTTTGTTTTTTTTTGGAGACAGGGTTTCTCTATATAGTCCTGGTTGTCCTGGAACTCACTCTGTAGACAGGCTGGCCTCGAACTCAGAAATCCGCCTGCCTCTGCCTCCCAAGTGCTGGGATTAAAGGCATGCACCACCACCTCCCGGCTTTAAATATTTATTTTTAATTCATGTATATTTATGTTTTGCCTGTATGTATGTCTGTGTGAGGCTGTTGGATCCTCTGGAACTGGAGTTATAGAAAGTTGTGAACTACTATGTGTATACTGGAAATTGAACCTTGTCCTTGGGAAGAACAGCCAGTGTTCTTAACTACTGAGCCATCTCTCCAGCCAGGCCTTCAATTCTTGAATTTGAGATCCCAGAGTCTCCATCCCCTAAGTGCTGGTATTGCTGGCCTGTGCCACCTAACCTTCCTTTCTTTAATAAATATGGCAGATATTTTCCAATGTCCTTTGAAAATAAGGACTTTAATCTTCAGATACTTAGAGGACAAAATTGAGTTCTTATTTTTTTAAGGCATTTTTGTTGGCATGGATACAAATGAAGGAAAGAAGAGATCCAATCGGACAGTGATGTGAATCCTCTCCATTACTGAACAGAGAACAACCCTGAATCCTGGAGGCCGGAGACCCCAAGGTGCCTTGGACATGGGCAGAAGCCAGCAGACTGAGCCAAGAGTGTTTTTAGTCCATTGGCTAGCTTTGTTGAAGACAGGCCAATCCACAGAAATAAGCAGCAGCCATGAGGGGGTCCTGCTTTGCCCTTGTCTGACTTAATTCCCATTTGGGCATCAGTTTACTAAGTGCAAAAAGAAAAAAGAGAAAAACAAACCCTACCAAAAACGCAGGGTTGGCATCCATTGTCAGGCAGCCTTTGTCCCTGAGGGATGCTGGGAGAGACCACAGGCTGGAAGCCAAGTTCTGTGAGGACACGGTGCCTCTGTGATCTAGGCCCCTAGGGGTGGTGACCCTTCTCTGAAAGGACAGCATTTAGATGAGGCCAATCTCTTATAGGCCCCATGGTCTCTCTGGACCTTGCTTGTTTTGTCTATCTTACCTCCTATAGCCCAGCTGTTCCTCAAACGAAAGCCTGTCTCCAAAACTGGGCCAGGATGGGTCAGGAGAGAATCAGGTACTTTTTCCTTCCCCTGCTGGCTTTATTTTACTTTCTTTTAAAACAGGGTCTTGGTATGACACCCTGACTGGCCTGGAATCCTCCCCCCTCCCCCCTCCCCCCCCCAAAGCTTTAATTATATTCTGGGCAATACCCTGGGGGAAGTGTCTGGAATAAGATGTAAGATGTCAAAGAGTTTGCAGAGCAAGCCTCTCTGAAAGGCTCAGGAAGTTTACAACTTGAAGCTTAGCATAGTGGTTCACACCATAATCCTAGTACTTGGAAGTGGTAGGCTGAAGCAGGAGAATTGTCTAGAATTTCAGGCCAGAAACTTCGTTGTTGTTGTTGTTTCTTGAGACAGATTTCTCTGTGTAATCCTGGCTGTCCTAGAACTAGCTCTGTAGACCAGGCTGGCCTTGAACTCATAGAGATCTGCCTGCCTCTGCCTCCCAGGTGTTGGGATTAAAAGCGTGAGCCAACAGCATTTTAGGTCTAAACCCACTGCTCAAGGCTGCAGGGATAGAGCCCATTTCCAGGATCCGAGCTGCAAAGTTCACACACACAGTTACATGGGAAATCTCCTTCTAGGGACCTTTCTTATCCCAAGAGCATCTCTGTTTCCCGACTAGGAATGCCAGGGGTCCCAGACAAGGCCTGGCCAGATAGCATTGTTGGCAGGAGATTTATGGATGATTCTGGGGATTCTGCATGGGACAGAGGTTCACCACCTTGATCTCCGAATCATGAACAGTCTATGTTTGATTCTCTGCAAGCCCTGTTGACTTCCACACATATCAGTGTTAAGCAGATAAGGAAGGAAGGAAGGAAGGAAGGAAGGAAGGAAGGAAGGAAGGAAGGACTGGTGGGTTGCTCAACTCATGCTTTGAGAGTTGCTTGGTAGTTCTCCAGAAGCAGGAGGATGCCCTGTTTGGCCTGTGACTGAAAGAGTTGGGAGAGATTGTTCTTGGTGGTCAGACAGAACTCAGACAGGTTGTAAATCAGCTACTCCCTGTGTCCAGTTTGATGACTGCTACTCCCGGATTTCAGAAGCTTCTCTGACATCCTGGGCCAGCTGCTTACTGATCCCTGGTGCCAACGAGGAAGTGTGCCAAAAACATGTTCCCTTGGATTCTCTCGAACCCTCTGAGGTTGGCAGCTTCATACTCTCTTGCTAATGCCAGCAACTTTGATGTCTCCACGGGTTTTCTGCCAGGATGTAGGTCAATATTCAGAATAGTGCTCAGAGGGTGGCAATATGGCTTCTCAGGCTCTGGAGTCAGCAAGTCCCAAAGTAGGCACTCCCAAACTGCCCCTATAACAATCAGCACTGAGATGGGGCGTGGTTGTCCCCGCCCAGCATCTGAGCTTTCTCTGTCTTGGTCTCCAGCTCTTCTGGCCCAGTGAAGCAGGAGGCTACCATCTCCTTGGAGTAATGGCCACCTTCCTGGTCATCTCTCCCAGTCTGACCAGCCCACTTTTCACACTCTCAAAAAGTACAGAGGTTCCTCCTCTGATTGGGGGGGGGGGGTGGGTGGGGTTCCAGTTCTGCTAAGGTGTGCAGATGTTGGGATCAACAGGAGTAGGGAAGTGTGACACCACAGAATGTCCTTGCACTGGACACTTGTCCAGTACCATACACTGTGGATTTTGTAACCTATTCCCACCGGCCCGGAATGAATGAACAACCTCCCAGTATGGGCACTGTGGGATATCTCCTCTGTGGATGGGATGATCCCGCCATTCTGTTCTTAGCAGGCTCCCGTCTACTCATCACGTGATTAAAAGCAAACCCTTCTCAGTATCTGAAAATGGTGAGTAGAGAAAAAGGAGGACTGAACTTTGCTGGCAGATCTAGTCCGTCAGAACATATATTTTTTAACAAATCTGCCCTAGCAGGACAGATGTTCTTTGTCTTTGCAAAGATGTGGACCGGACCGCGAAGGTGAGTCAGGGAAATCCTCTGATGGGGCATATGGCACTTGGTGTTGACCCCCCGGACATCTCCATGAGAAAAAAAAATTGAATTTGAGCACACCCCTAACGCAACTAGTTCCCACTGAAGAAGAGTTTCTCTGTCAAACCTATCAGGAAGGTCCACAGTTTGTTTGTTGTTGGGTTTGGGTTTTGTTTTGCTTTTAGAAGGGATCACCTCTGAAGGAACAGAGGGAAAGTTCCTGTGAGTGAATAAACTGTGGCCTCCATAAGGGGAGTCTTGACCCCTAAGAGAGCTGCTATGCTTGCTGGTCTCTCTTGGAGATCCAAGCCTGTGACATGCTCAGAACTTCCCTGGCTGGACTGCCTACAGCCCTGTTCAGCTGTGCGCCGGGCCAGGGAGAGTGATCGACGCCCCCGGGAGTCCGGAGGAGTAGGCCCTCTCTCCTCCGGGGCAGACGTGAGAGCCAGAGCAGGCCCTGCTGAGCCAACGGGCGGCTGGAGCCATACGAAGCGCATTAAGTATTAATAATTTCCAGTTGTTTGCTCGTCCTCTCCCCCCCATCCCCACCCCCACCCCGGCCGGCCTCTGCAGGCTGGGACTCGGTTTTGGCTCTGGGCTGCCAGATCTAGAGATTATTAGCACCTCCCGGAGGCCAGGGGGACAGTGCAAGGGGGCAAGAATCACCGTGGACCACAGGGACAGGGTGCGGGGCCGGACGAAGACTCATAGGCTTGCCAGTGGGCGACGCGGCCTGCTTGGGGCGGGGGAGCAGGGGGGCGTCGCGGGAAGATCGGCGCCCGGACGAGCTGGGCGGCGCGCGGCGGGAGCGCAGCGGCCCCTGGCGCTTGGCCTCTCGGCGGTCACCGCGGCTGGGCCAGCCCCCGAGGCGGGGCGGAGGGCGGGGTCTCGAGCGAGCGCGGCCGCCGGCGACACCCGGACAACGCGCCGGCGGCGGGGCAAGGAGGGCAGCCCGGAGGGCAGCGGCCCCGGCCCGCGTGTGTGGCCCTCTCTTGCACTCCAACACCACGCCGGCTGTGCCCGGCCCCGCCACACGTGCAGCTATGGTGGGCCGGCTGAGCCTGCAGGATGTCCCGGAGCTCGTGGACACGAAGAAAAAAGGCGACGGCGTCCTGGACAGCCCTGACTCGGGGCTGCCCCCAAGCCCTAGCCCCAGCCACTGGGGGCTCGCAGCGACGGCGGGCGGCGGTGGGGAGCGCGCTCCGGTCGCAGGGACGCTGGAGCCCGATGCGGCGGTGACCCCTGTAGTCCCGGTGAGTTGCCTCGTGCGCGGACTTCTCCCTGTCCCAGCCCACCCGCAGCTCTCCCCGGGGACTCCCCAGCGCTCGCTGTCGGTGCGGCCACCGGCCCGTCGAGACGGCGTGGCCATCCCCGGGAGCCGGGGCGGGAGCGTAGCGAGAGAGCCGGCCAGCTGGAGCCAGTGGCTGGAAAATTGTCATCGCCTGGGAGGCGCGGGAGCCCCGGGAGAGGCGAGCCGCGGTCTCCTCCCTTCGAGGTGGCGGCCCCCGAGGCTGCCAGGCTGCGGCTCGACCACATTCCTGCTGGGGCGGGCTGGGTGGGGCTCCCGGGACACGGACAGGGATCCCGTCCCTCCCCACCCGGGGGCCCACGCCCCGCGGCTTTGCTCCCAAAGCGGCCTCCCTCTGCCGGGACCTGGGAGAGGGGTGTGCTTTGGGTTCCTGGCGCAAGGCGGATCAGCCTTTGGGGGACCTTCTGAGTAGTCACACTGGAGCCTTCAGGGTCTGGTAGGTCCCTTTCCCAGCCAGTCTTCTGCACTTAATGAGATCAGCGTCCTCCAGGTGGCCAGGGCTTTGAAAGTATTAATCCTTTTCCTTCTTTTTCTTTAAACTCTTTGCAAGAAAAACTCCAAGTCTGTTTTGCTTTGGGATCTGTTCAGGTGGTGGTATTCAGAGTAGACCTCCAGAGAGGCCACATCCTGCCTACAGTAGAAGCTCAAAGTAGGACTGACTGAGGGATGGCTGGGACTGTGCCTCCCGTGGGACGGTCAGCGGTGGTGTTATGCTTAAGGACCACAGTGGAGCTTTGGTGGTGTGGGGCCTTCTTGACCTACTGACCCTGTCCCAGCAAGGACCAGTGCCTCTTCCACTCCAAGGTGAAGCTTGCTTCAGTTTGGCCTTTCAAGTCTCACTCCTCTTCCCTGCTCTGACCACAGATCAGACACTCACTGGTGCTTCTGACATGGATTCCTTCACCTGACGTGAACCTTGACCCTCACCTTTCCCATCCAAGTCCTGGTGTCCCTTCCATGCTCGACTATGCAGCCTCCTATGGGAGCTTTCTCAGGCTTGTTCCAGAACCTGTGGCTTGGTGTCTGGCTTCAGAGTCTCCGTGTATGTCTAATCACTGCTGCTGACCCAGTAGCATTCTGACTCCCTCCCACATTTGGATGCCCAGGGAGTGTCTGTCTGGGGAGCAGGGATGGGGGTACAAAGGAGGCAGGACCCCCTCCAGAATGGACACCTTTCAGAAAGTTGTCTTAGGACTGTGTGGCCACACCTCATGCACTCCCTCTGTCCACCGCCTTTAACTTGAACTGTATCCCCTCCACAACAGGGTCTCACTAAACTCCATCCTAGCCCTGGAATGCTACCCCAGTTCCCCACCATGCTTTTGGTTTTTGCATCTTCTCCTGGTAACACAGTAAAGATCTCAGAGCCAACCTCATAGAAACATTTGCCTCCTTTTCTGTCCCAGGGGATGGGACTGTCTCTTCCACACCCTGGCACAAATGTAGTTCTTGCTCTTAAATTAAGCAAAGAAAATGACAGCTCTCGGAGAGCCAGAGAGCACAAAGGGCTGCGAGGTCCCTCCACACTGTGTTTATCTCTGCACTGGAGCAGAGAGGGACCAGAGAGGGTCACCTGAGTTTGCCTGATGAGTCATAGTGGCACTCTGCCCACTGAGCTTTCTGGCTCGTGAAGGCTGGCATGGAGTGAAGGCATCTCTGGGCTCCTCTGTAACAGTTGTGGGGACCCCCTGTCATGGATGGCTGCCCCTCTGTCAACCCCAGAGGCAAAAGAGGTGGGGAAGCAGGGGTGGATATTTACCTTAGAAAAGAAATTCTGGAAGCTTTTCCTCTTGGCATTAGATTTAGCCTTTCTCTAACTTGCTGGGACAATTACTTGGGGGGAGGGGCTCTGCATCATTGAGGTTCTGAAGAGTTAAGTTTGAGTTGTGGGGCTTTCTCGCTATAGGGCTGGCCATCAGTCCTGATGTGGACATGGTATGTTCATCAGGTCAGCTTCCTCTTCTGCCTTTCACAAACCTTCAGTGATGGGAAGTGGGGGCAGCCCTTCCCCCCAGCATGCAGATAAGGACATAGGACGTGTGACACAACTCTACTGCGGGCACAAAGTACATTTAAGATAGACAGTGCCTACTGTGCACATGAGTGCTCATCACTGAGGAATAGGGAGGGGTGCAGGGCTGATATGGGATTTGAACCCTGATCTTCGGGTGCCCTGTCTAATCCTCTCTCTTTCCATGCCATGGGCCAGCCCTATCCTTTGTAGGGCCAGAGTGTGGTCACCACGAGGTGGGTCACTCATAGCTTTAATTCCTTCTCTCCTCTCTTCTGGAAGAACCCAGTATCTCTGACCCACTCGTTGGCTGCCATCTGCTCACCACGACTCTGTCCCCTGTCCTTCGGCGAAGGAGTCGAGTTTGACCCCTTACCACCAAAGGAAATAAAGTGAGTATACTGACCTGTTATTATTTCTTAAAGTATTAAAACAAATTCCAAGTATAATTGTTTTTAAAAGGTTAATTATGAAAATACACTGAAGACTATTAATAGTTTGATTTATTTTCTTTTTTTTAAAAGATTTATTTATTATATATGAATACACTGTAGCTGTCTTCAGACACACCAGAAGAGGGCATCAAATCTCATTACAGATGGTTGTGAGCCACCATGTGGTTGCTGGGATTTGAACTCAGGACCTCTGGAAGTGCAGTCAGTGCTCTTAACCACTGAGCCATCTCTCGAGCCCTTGACTTATTTTCTTATATTCTAACTAGTCAAATATATAGTTACTCCATTACATAGCCAGTTAAAGTTTTGGGATGGGCTCTTGCTATGCCTCGTTAGCTGGCCTAGCATTCACTATATACCTCAGGGTGACTTCGAGCTGAGGATGATATTTCTGTCTCAGCCTCCTGAGCGTTACGATCACTGGTGTACAGCGGTATACTGAATGTAGACGCTCTTTTTAAGTGAGATTTCATGATAAAGTTCTCCCATGTGCTTTGTGTGTTTCATATGCCATGCCACGGGGAGCTAAAGATTCTGTCGAATATTAATTCTTCTTTCTAGAAGCCACGAATCCTTCTCCCCCCCACCCCCCAAAAAAAACCAAGGTGCTATGACCCCGTCTCATGTTTTGTCACTGGGCAAGCCCTCTGGGAATGATCTCAACCAGGATTATCAGGGGCAAAGAGTCGTGGAAACATTCCAGCAAAGAGCTGTCTTTTTAGGAAAAGGAATTTTACTTTTGGTGACTGGGGTTTTGTAGCTGCAGTTTCAATCGCTTGAACACAAAGGGGCCTTTGATGAGGAACAGAGGGAGGTTTGCCCACTTAGAGGTGAGCAGGTTAGGCTTCTATTCCCCTGGAGCTTATATTTCTGACAAAACTGGGACATGACTTTGTGACATTAGATCCCATCAGAGTCTTGTGACTCTGGGGAGAACAGACACAAAAAGCTGGTTCACACTCACGTGATGCTGATACCTGTGAAGCTGTAATATTAACGCGTCCAAGTCGTTACTGCGATGCTTTAAGAACATATTAACCCCCTCAGCCATGAATGGCATGTATACCTGCAGTCTCAGCCAGCACTCAGGAGGCTGAGGCAGGGAACATGTGTTCCAAATAAATAAAATAACGACGATGACGACGGCGATGATGATGACCACGACGACAAAGACGAAGATATAACTGAGGGATACAAATGGCATTAGGTTTGTGGTTGGCTTTCAGTGATAGGGTCAGATCCCTGGGTCCCCCACAGTGGGAGGTTCCCGAACCATAGTTCTGAGCATGAACCAAGCACTGAGACCGTGGCTAGAGCCAAACTTCTAGAAGCAGCACTTAGCAGTTCTGGAATTCTTTCTCCTCTCATTCAAGAGCTGGTTGGCCATGGAGTGGGTGAAGAAGCTCCTCAGCCCCACACAGCCGCCGACTGCACTTCGTTCTGTGATACAGCTCTGCTTAGGATAGATGCATTCAGAGAACAGTAATGTCACCACATGGTGTCCCAGCCGGGTTTCTGTTGCTGAATAAGCACCGTGACCAAAAGCAATTTGTGGGGAGAGAGAGGGTTTATTCCAGCTCACACGGTGAAGGGAAGTCAAGGCAGGAACCTAGAGGCAGGGACCATTGAGGACCGCTACTTACTGACTTGTCCCTCCATGATTGCTCAGTTTGCTTTCTATACACCCTGGGACCAATCAGGGATGGCACCGCCCACAGTAGGCTGTACCCTTTCACATCAATCACCAATGAGGACAATGCTCTGCACAGTTGCCTATAAATTTAACTGATAAGTTCATTTTCTCAGTTGAAGTTTCTCCTTCTCAGATGACTCTAGCTTAAAAAAAAAAAAGTAGCCAATGCACTTGAATATATTAACATGCAATTACTCATATTAAGAAGCTGCTAAATCGCCTTTAATTGACGATTGACGTGACGTACGTCTTTAATCCCAGCACTTGAGAGGCAGAGGCAGGTCGATTTCTGAGTTTGAGGCCAGCCTGGTCTACAGAGTGAGTTCCAGGACAGCCAGGGCTACACAGAGAAACCCTGTCTCGAAAAAATAAATAAATAAATGTATGTAGGCAAGTTAAGTTGTTAGACTAAAGGTTTCCAGCTTAGGTAAACTGGAATGGAATTCAGTCGCTATGGAAATGGTAAACTTTGGAAGCCTGTGTGCTACTTTTAGGTCCCAGCTCAGGCCTAGGGGTTTAGCTCATAACACTCAAGACCATGGATTCTATCTCCAGCCCTACAAATCCATTAGGCAGTCCATCCATCTATCCATCTATCCATCCATCCACGCACCCACCCCAGTCCGTCACTCAGGGACCCTATGACCCTCGTGTCTACATCTTGCTTTCTTCTTCCAGGGTCTCTGGAAAGATCCAGTTAGGTCTTGTGTCAAAAGTGATTGGAGTATATGCCCCTCAAAAAGGACTCCCATAGACTCTGTGCTGCTTCTCCCTGATGCAGCCAAGGTCAATCAATGCTTACACCCCAGGAGAGATGAGAGGTCACCCTTGGGGCCCCATGCTCCTAACTCAGAGGACAGCCTCATGCTGGCTTGTATCTCCCCACAGGTATACCTCCTCAGTCAAGTACGACTCCGAGCGGCACTTCATCGATGACGTGCAGATGCCCCTGGGCCTGGTGGTGGCTTCCTGCAGCCAGACAGTCACCTGTATCCCCAACTGCACTTGGCGAAACTATAAGGCGGAAGTGCGCTTCGAGCCCCGCCACAAGCCGACGCGCTTCCTCAGCACCACCATCGTGTACCCCAAGTACCCCAAGACCGTCTACACCACCACTCTGGATTACAACTGCCACAAGAAGCTCAGGAGGTTTCTATCCAGTGTGGAGCTCGAGGCCACGGAGTTCCTGGGTAGCGATGGGCTGTCCGAGGAATGCTGACTCAGCTAGCTTGAGGTTGGACCAGCTGTTCATACACTGCCCTGGTCCCCAGACCACCCCGGACAAGCTGGGTAACATTGCTCTTGCACATCACCCCAGCCCCAGAGGGATCTAACCTGGAGAGACCTCTAAGCCTAGCCGGGGAAGATGTATTTTTAAAAAAAAATCACTCCATCTTATAATAATAGAGAAACTCGGCCTCGTTTAAATTTTTCCAGATAGTTTTTGTTTAAAAAAAAAAAAAGGAGAGAGAGAGAGAGAGAGAGAGAGAGAGAGAGAGAGAGAGAGAGAG